ACCGGCAATGAAGGCATTTGAGTAATCAAAGGGGGAGGTGACAAGCCCCTTTCACCCGTTATATAGCCCCATTCACATTAAGAGGATATCTCAAATTGCTTCACGCTGATTACTGAGAGCACAAGAGCACAAGCTGCATTGGAACTGAGGAGAGGGAGAAGGTGGTTGAGCAGCAGGTCAGCCTGGCTCAGATGGAAGCACTCTCCTCTCTGAGTCAGAAAGTGCTGAGTGCAAGGCCCAAGTCAGGTCTTTGAGCTCATAGTGTTGGCTGACACTCTAATGTAGTGCTGGGGAGAGTGCTGCATTTTTGAAGATGCCATTCTTTGCTGTGACGTTAAACTCACCTGCTTGTTTCCTTGACCTTCCTCTTTGACTGTGCCTTCAGTCATCCTCCCACCCCTACTCCCCGTGTCCTCCACCCCTCTTGATTCCAATCCCCAGTTGGGGCGCAAACCTTGTCCGTCCAGTGCCTTGGTACATCTTCCCGACGTGAAAGGCACTATATAAATGCAATCTTTTTATTTGTTTAGGTGGATGTTAAAGAGTCCATGGCACTATTCGATAATAGAGCCGTGTTTCTTTTGGTTTCCTGCCAACAAGATACAATTGTTCATTCACTTCATGACTATTTGTGTGACATTGCCGTATGCAAATTAGCTGCCGTGTTCACCCACAAATACACGGTCACTGTACTTTACAGAAACTGTGTGAAGTGTTTTGATGTGGTACGATATCCTATCAAGCACAAGGATTATTATTAAGATTGTTTTAATCTAGATGCTGCAGATAACTGTCCTGTAATATAACATTTTCCACCAATGGAAGTTGCAAAATAGGAACTGCAGAACTGCATCAGGAAGTAGCTCCACAGCATAAATCCACCATGTCACAAAATCTATTCCAACACATCCTTTCACGTGTTTCCAATAACCAACAATGGGAGCAAAGAGTACAAGGAAAAAATATATCCAGTCCCAGACAGGATGACATATGTACCGATGCTCCCATTGTTTTTAACACCTTCTTGATGTGAGCCACCTTATCATCTTAACAACTAATCACTTAACAAATCAAAGCATTCCTGGCTCAATTTTTTTATACAAAACAAGGTGAGGGATTCTTGAAATTGTTATTGTTGGATTCAAAACACTTACTAGAATAACAGGATGCATTATACTAACGTCATTTACTGCATAGAATAACAGAAGGGCTTGATTATGCCCAATCCTTACAGTGGCAATCTGTATTGTCACAAAACTGCATTTATATTTCAAATGATGCTGCATTGGGGATATTTCTCACAGCAATTTAAGTGGGTACATATGGTTTAAACTCTAAAGGCAGGACTCTGTACTTTAGTTTGTGCATGCACCTCAGTTCTTCTCACAACAACAACAAATTGCATTTATATAGCAACTTTGATTTTGGGAGGATGTCCCAAGGCACTGGATAGTCAAGAGTTTGCACCCAAGCTGGGGGTTGGAATCAAGAGGAGTGGAGGATGGCACATGTTCAGCATTAGAAAAGAACTGCTAAGTTAGTCATTAAGAGCTTCGAGGTTGGTTTTACATACAACATGAATAGCTTTTAAATTGAAATGGAAAGCTTTTAAAGTTTCAGGTTCTTCACCAGCACATGTCTATTGTACAGTGACCTATGCACTGCAATTGAAAGCACTGTCTGGGGAGCTTGCTTGCTGCTTGTCTGGCTGGGGCACTCATTTTCCAGTGAGAAGACATTGTTATGGAGGTTCTGCCATCCCTGGATTCATAGCAGGAATGAAAAGGTCCTGTTGAACACACAGACCCTGTACTTCTGGTAGGGTGCTTGCACTCTTGTTCTGAATTGTGGGAAAATCCAACCTCCATAGCATTTTAGAGTCATAGAGAAAAGGGATACAAACAGACTGCAACAAAAGGACACAAATGGGAAAAGAACAAGGAAAGAGGAGAGAAAAACAACGAAGCAAAATAACAAAAAAGTAAGTTTATTAATGCTTTTTTAAAAGAAAACTGTACTAATTACAGTATTAGAGTGCAGGCTGTGTTTCACTGCAAACTAGTACCAATGATTTGTTAATCTCCCTCAAGCTTCTGTTTGAACAACAATAACAACAACAAATTTCACGTCAGGAGGATGTCCCAAGACGCTGGACAGTGAAAGGTGTGAAACCTGAGCTGTGGTCTGGAGTCAAAGGGGGAGGGGTGAGGGCAAAGGGGTTAGAGGTGGTAGGATGACTAAAGGCACGACCGAAGAGGAAGATATTGAGACGGGCCTTGAAGCAGGCAAGGAAGGGGGTGAGGTGGAGGGGCTCCAGGATGGCGTTCTAGAGGGTGGGAGAAGAAAGGCTGAACGCCTGATCGCCAATGGTAGAGCAGGCAGGACAGGGGACATGGAGCAAGCCAGTGCCCACCGAGCAGAGGGAGTGGACAGTTTGGTAATGTTTTAGTAGGTGCAGAGGTAGGGAGGAGCTAGACCATTGAGGACTTTAAAAATGTTCTGGAATCTCCAAATTTTGTCAAGACCTTTGTGCAGCCCCCTTATTTTTATAAACCTTGTATGGTCTTAAATAGTTTGTATATCAGTCCACATCTGTGTCTAATTTTGTTCAATGAAGAAATTTCTAAATCTAAACATTTACATTGCCAAAGTTCCTAGAAGAGCTTCTTAGTTAAGTACCAAAGGGATTGTGCCCCCGAACTCCCGGAATACTCGTGTGCTGGACCGTTATACTGTATCCCCAGAGGTTTGACTATTCAGTGAGTTTAGAGTGAAGCAGTCCTTTTTAATAGAACAAAACAAACATCAAATCAGCGGTCTCCAGTAAATATAGAAAAGGGAGGATCAGGACTTAAGTGCCACTCACTTACAGCAGATAATACAGATGTGTGTAAAATTAAAACAAAATATTTTGATAAAGTATGCAATTACATATACATATATACACACACACAGTTGAAAGCCTCAATGAAAGGATCAGGTTGTATCGTGTCCATTTTTGTCCCCCTATGGTACATAGCTGTCTTCTCCTTTCATTGTTGTATGGTCTAGATTGTTTTGTTCTGGAGTCTCTCTCTCCATCTTTGTTTTGGAGTCACTCTCTCCATCTTTTTGTTCGGAGTCTCTCTCCACTTTTTTGTTCTGGAGGCTCTATCTTTCATTTCTGGAGTGTATCTTAGGTTATTGAATCTCTCCCCCTTCTCTATTTATTCTAGAGCCCCCCCCCCTTCTGGAGTCTCTCTCAATATCTTTATGTGGAGCCTCTATCTTTTTGTTCTGAAACCCCCTCCCCCATTTTTCTTCTGGGATCTCCTTTTCTCTCTCTCTCTCTCTCTTTGCTCTGCAGTTTCTAATCGGTTTGTTCTAGACCCCCCTCCCTTTCTTCTGGAGTCTCTTCGGGAGTCGCTGTGTTTGCACTAGAGCCATTTAACATTGTTCCGGAGTCTCCTTTTCTCTCTCTTTTTGTTCTGGATTCTCTCCTTTTTTGTTCTGGAGCCTCTTTCTCTATGTCTTTATTCTGGAGTCTCTCTCTCTCTCCATCTTTGCTCTGGAGTCTCTCATTCTCTCTGTCTTTGTTCTGGAGTCTCTCATTCTCTCTATATTTGTTCTGGAGTCTCTCTGGTTTTGTTCTGGAGTTTCTTTTCTCTATCTTTGTTGTGGAGTCTCTCTGGTTTTGTTCTGGAGCCTCTTTCTCTATGTCTTTATTCTGGAGTGTCTCTCTCTCTATCTTTGCTCTGGAGTCTCTCATTCTCTCCATCTTTGTTCTGGAGTCTCTCATTCTCTCTATCTTTGTTCTGGAGTCTCTCTGGTTTTGTTCTGGAGCTTCTTTCTCTATGTCTTTATTCTGGAGTGTCTCTCTATCTTTGCTCTGGAGTCTCTCATTCTCTCTATCTTTTTTCTGGAGTCTCTCTGGTTTTGTTCTGGAGTCTCTTTTCTATCTTTGTTCTGGAGTCTTCATTCTCTCTATCTTTGTTGTGGAGTCTCTCATTCTCTCTATCTTTGTTCTGGAGTCTCTCATTCTCTCTATCTTTGTTGTGGAGTCTCTCTGGTTTTGTTGTGGAGTCTCTCATTCTCTCTATCTTTATTGTGGAGTCTCTCTGGTTTTGTTGTGGAGTCTCTCATTCTCTCTATCTTTGTTCTGGAGTCTCTCAATCTTTGTTCTGGAGTCTCTCATTTTCTCTATCTTTGTTCTGGAGTCTCTCATTCTCTCTATCTTTGTTCTGGAATCTCTCTGGTTTTGTTGTGGAGTCTCTCATTCTCTCTATCTTTGTTGTGGAGTCTCTCTGGTTTTGTTGTGGAGTCTCTCATTCTCTCTATCTTTGTTGTGGAGTCTCTCTGGTTTTGTTCTGGAGTCTCTCATTCTCTCTATCTTTATTGTGGAATCTCTCTGGTTTTGTTCTGGAGTCTCTCATTCTCTCTATCTTTGTTGTGGAGTCTCTCTGGTTTTGTTGTGGAGTCTCTCATTCTCTCTATCTTTATTGTGGAGTCTCTCTGGTTTTGTTGTAGAGTCTCTCATTCTCTCTATCTTTGTTCTGGAGTCTCTCAATCTTTGTTCTGGAGTCTCTCATTTTCTCTATCTTTGTTCTGGAGTCTCTCATTCTCTCTATCTTTGTTCTGGAATCTCTCTGGTTTTGTTGTGGAGTCTCTCATTCTCTCTATCTTTGTTGTGGAGTCTCTCATTCTCTCTATCTTTGTTCTGGAGTCTCTCATTCTCTCTATCTTTGTTGTGGAGTCTCTCATTCTCTCTATCTTTGTTCTGGAGTCTCTCATTCTCTCTATCTTTGTTCTGGAGTCTCTCTGGTTTTGTTGTGGAGTCTCTCATTCTCTCTATCTTTGTTCTGGAGTCTCTCATTCTCTCTATCTTTGTTCTGGAGTCTCTCTGGTTTTGTTGTGGAGTCTCTCATTCTCTCTATCTTTGTTCTGGATCCCTCTCTCTCTCTCTCTCTCCCCTCTCTCTCTGCTCCCAGCGGTCGGCGCGTGCGCACTGGCGGTGTTCCTGGCGCAGTCCCTGGCTGACCTCCTCCCGGGGCGGGAGCGGGAGCTCAAGTCGCCGCGGCCCGAGGCACAGACCGACCGCGGGGAGAGCGAGAGAGGAGGACGCGCCGTGTGGTGCCGGGGAGCGGCGGTCTCTGGCGGCTGAGTGGGCGCCGGGCTCGGGCTCGGGCGGGTGGTGGTGGTGGAGGTGAGTGCCGGTGCCAACTGTCGGGGCTGGTGGGGGCGGCACAGCCCAGCGCGGGGCCGGGCAGTGGAGGCGGGCTCGGGGCAGGGCCTCTGTCAGCCCCCCGGCACCTCCACCCCGATAGGAGCCGGGCTCGGAGTGCCCGAGAGCGGGTCCCTGGGAAGCCACCGAGCCCCCTCCCTCCCTCCCTCACCCACCCACCCACCCACCGGCTCTCGGGCCGCAGGCGGCCACCGAGCCCTCACCCCCTCCTCTGCTCTCTCCTCCAGCAACACTTTTTGTCCACAAATTACAGCTACATGGATGTGGTGCTCCTTCCTCTCCCCCTCTCCCCGCTCCCCCATTCCTCTCCCCTCTCCCCGCTCCCCCATTCCTCCCCCTCTCCCTTCCTCTCCCCCTCTCCCCGCTCCCCCATTCCTCTCCCCCTCTCCCCGCTCCCCCCCTTCCTCTCCCCCTCTCCCCGCTCCCCCATTCCTCCCCCTCTCCCTTCCTCTCCCCCTCTCCCCGCTCCCCCATTCCTCCCCCTCTCCCTTCCTCTCCCCCTTCTCCCCTCTCCCCCTCCCCTCTCCCCGCTCCCTCTCTCCCCCGCTCTCCCTTCCTCCCCCTCTCCCCGCTCCCCCTCTCCTCCCCCCGCTACCTCCCCCTTCCTCTCCCCGCTCCCTCTCTCCCCCTCTCCCCGCTCCCCTCTCCCCCCGCTCCCTCCCCCCCTCTCCCCGCTCCCCCCTCCCCCTCTCCCCGCTCCCTTCCTCTCCCCTCTCCCCGCTCCCTCTCTCCCCGCTCCTCTCTCCCCCCCTCTCCCCGCTCCCTCTCTCCCCTCTCCCCGCTCCCTCTCCCCGCTCCCCTCTCCCCTTCTCCCCGCTCCTTCTCTCCCCCTCTCCCCTCCCCCCTCCCCTCTCCCCGCTCCCCTCTCCCCCTCTCCCCCTCCCTCCCCCCTCTCCCCTCTCCCCTCCCCCTCTCCCCCTCTCCCCGCTCCCCCCCCTCTCCCCGCTCCCCCCCTCTCCCCGCTCCCTCTCTCCCCACACTCCCCGCTCCCTCTCTCCTCGCTCCCCCTCTCCCCGCTCCCTCTCTCCCCCTCTCGCTCCCTCTCTCCCCGCTCCCCCTCTCGCTCCCTCTCTCCCCCTCTCGCTCCCTCTCTCCCCCTCTCGCTCCCTCTCTCCCCCTCTCGCTCCCTCTCTCCCCGCTCCCTCTCTCCCCTCTCCCCGCTCCCCCTCTCCCCGCTCCCTCTCTCCCCCTCTCCCCTCTCCCCGCTCCCCCTCTCCCCGCTCCCCTCTCCCCGCTCCCTCTCTCCCTCTCTCCCCCTCTCCCCCTCTCCCCTCTCCCCGCTCCCCCTCTCCCCCGCTCCCTCTCTCCCCCTCTCCCCTCTCCCCGCTCCCCCTCTCCCCCTCTCCCCGCTCCCCCTCTCCCCGCTCCCTCTCTCCCCCCCTCTCCCCGCTCCCTCTCTCCCCACACTCCCCGCTCCCTCTCCCCCCACACTCCCCGCTCCCTCTCTCCCCACACTCCCCGCTCCCTCTCTCCCCTCTCTCCCCGCTCCCTCTCTCCCCCTCTCCCCGCTCCCCCCCTCTCCCCGCTCCCCCTTCCTCATTCTTTTCATACCAGAGCAAAGCCGAGTTACGCGTATTTTTCCCCAACAGGAGGTGGGGTTGGTGGCTGTCTGTGTGACTGGGCTGCACTGTACTGTTGTATAACTCAAATACACGTTGCCTTTCCCAATTGTTGTGTAAAATATGATTGGGGAGAGGGGAGGGGGAGAGGGAGAGGGGAGAGGGGCTGCTTCTGTGGTAGGGAAAGTGAGTCAGTGATCTGGTCGGGACGTATACGTCTCTTTTAAAGGCTTCTGCGGTGCTGAGTCGCTTGAACACTTGAAATGCACAAGACCTTCAAGTCTTTCCGACTTTCTTTGCTTACTTTGATTCTTGGTGGTGATTTATGGTCATGATAATGGAGGAGGGGGGTGGGTGGGGGTCTGGTACTGTACTCTGTCCCAAAAGGTCGTTCTGCATCCCAAGCTGAGTGTTGGCAGGTGTTTCAACTGTTGGTACTATCGCAGCTGAGTCTAATTCTGTCCACACATGCACTTCAAACGGCCTGGGGGTGGGAATTCACTGGATAGGAATGAATTTGAGTCTTCACCCAGTACTGTACAATACAACCAAAGTGTATAAATGGTGGCCACATCAGCACCGTGTTCATGAAAGTGATTGAGAATTGTCTTTCAGACTGGCTATGCAATTATCTAAAGTCATGGGTATGTGCTGCTTAACCTGGATAATAAACCTACAATGTTGTTTTTTCCGAATCAAGTAATCTGTTGAAAACAGGTACAGAATAGAAATGAATCTAATTCTTCCTTTCCCTATCAGTAATGAGCTGTTTTTGAGCCACCTTTTCTCGTGCAACCTTTGGTATTTTAGAGGAAGTGTTTTCCTTACAGCTGTAAATTGTCTTCAAGGGAAAAAAAAGGCATACAAATTTATAATGTATAATTGTGTGGAGAAGTTTAATATTTTGTGTTAATGAGACATCAAAATCAATTAATTTGTTATAATTGGATATTTGGTTATTACTGTTTTAAAATTGTGTCAAAGTAAGTAGATTTTTAGGTCATACGTTTGTATGCAATACCACTCCTTACCTGCTGCGTTCCAACTTTTGAGCTTAGCGTTAGGTTCAAGTATGTTGCTGAAACCAGAACAATGAATGATATTCGTAGCTGCTTTTATAATTGGAGGCATTTTAAATGACAATCTTAGATTTCGTATGGAAATATTTTCTTAGTGTGGCAGTGGTTAGAAATAAATATTTTATCACAATGTGATCCAAACGTTTGTATGTGCAGTGAGAATATGGAGCTGATTTGTACTGAAAGTCAATGATGGTATTACCTAGGTTTTGTTCTGGGTGAAGTATCAGTAATCTGTGAAGGAAATGCAGTAATTTGACTACAAAAAAAGGTATTACTTAATAATAATAATCCTTGCATTTGCGGATTGCATTTCTTGCACATGCCTTATCATGTCTTCAAGACATTTCAAAGCGCTTCACAGAATATACTCTAAAGTGAATTGACTGTATATTTTGTGGGCAAAATGTGGCAGCCAATTGCGCACAGCAGTGTTCCACAAACAGTCATGGATTGAGTGACCAAATTATTATTATAATTTTACTTGTGAAGTGTTTTGAGGTGTATTAACATAGGTTGCTTTCTGAGCTAAAGCATCAAATAATAAAAACATAAATCTTTGTTTATCTGATATTGTAACATCTAGATTTAACACAGCGTTTCATGTAAATGAAAGTCTCAAAGTGCTTGACAAATGTTATGCACCACCAGTGTGGAAATAAGAGACTGAAAGATCTTGACGAAAGGCATAGAATTTTTTTAAGGAATTTTTTGAAGACAGGAGAGAGGTAATGAGTCAAAGTGGTTTTGGAAGAAAATTTCAGAGGACAGGACATGGTGACTGAAAGCTTAGCCACCAATGATGGAGTGAAGGGAGTGTGCAATAAACCCAAATTGGAAACGTGTGGGTTGGAATGTAGGCCAACAGAACTCTATATATATTTTTTGGTCAGCTGGGTGTCTGTCACATGCAGAAATCCATCAGCACGCTGTGCAGAGTATCCAAACCAGACTGAGAGTTCCATATATGTATGCCACCTACCAGTGGAAATTTCCTTGTGTGGAACGAAGTATGCATTTTATCCCTGGAAAGAGCTTGCCCTTCTTACCTTCTCCGGAGACTATCAGATGCAGGTCAGCAAGAGCCAAGGTTTGGAGCCAGATCGTGTTTTTACACATCATTTACATGCTCCTGCTCGGCGATGTCATCTGCAGACATGGGGTCAACTTCCACATGTATGCGGATGACACCCAGTCTACTTCTCCTCCTACAGCTGCATCTCCCAGTCCGCTGATATCCTGTCAGCTTGCCTGAGGGACATCAAAGCTGGATGAGTACAAATTTTCTGCAGCTGAACATCTGCACATAGGAGGCCATACTCCTTGGTTCCCGTCAATGTCTTCTTTCCTGCGGGTCTGAACTCCTCAACCTCCTGGGCTCTCCCTCAGACCCACTGAACCCGTGCACAATCTAGGTGTCAGGTTTGATCCATAGCTTTCCTTTCTCCCCCTTTGTCATTTCCCGGATGGACTTTTCAAATGCCCTTGCCAGGCTGCTCTGGTTCTCAATTTCCGAATGGATTGATTTCAAGATCCTCTCTCTCATTTTCAAATCCCTTCATGCCCTCACACCTCCCTACCTTTCCGACTTGCTCACACCCCCACTCCCACCACCCGCTGCTTCCGCTCGGCCGGCTCTGGTCTCCTGTTTGTCCCTCGTACCCTCTGCTCCACGATCGGCAGCTGTGCTTTCAGTCACTACTCCCTGAAGCTCTGGAACTTTTTCCCTGAAACCCTCTGCCTTGCCCCTTCCCTCCCTACTTTCAAATCCCGCCTGAAGACCTTCCGTTTTGATTGTGCTTACTGTCACTTCCCCTTTCCTCTTCCCTTGGCTCTGTGATCAGACTCTGCCACTGTTAAGCGCTCTGGGATGCTACCCGGCCTGAAATGCAAGTTATTGTTGTGTTGGAGTACTGGTAGAGCTTAACCATCTAAATCTGCATATTTTTGTCATTGAAAGGCATGCCTGACAAGCTTCCTGCTGCCTATCCAGCTAGGACCACTCTTCCTAGAAGGGTTTTTGCTTACAGGGTTTGAGGGGGATGAATTTGTGCCCCCTGTGACTGGTCTTCCCTTCAAAGTCCTGCCGATGAGACAGGCTGGTTGTGTTGTCAGCAGTGTCCTGGAGTACTGTGGACCTACCTGGCTCAGGAACTGGACTACTGAGACCACCACAGAGGTGGCTCGATTCTGACGTTCTTTTGCCAAACATGTTACCTTGGAGCCAGTTGCGATCCAAGAAGACCCTGTTACCCTCCTCCTAACCCCTCCCCTTCGAGGATATGGGTTCTGGAATCAATTCTCTGAAATACCGGTAGTTAAA